CTACGGCTTCTCCCCAACAGTTTTGGACCAATTAGATAGTAGTACCTTTTCATACAAATATTGTATACCACTAAGTTGAGGTCAGTCTTTTCTGTTTCTCCTAAACAGTGAGGATCCATGTGCACATGCCAATTTTGATACGTTAATGCATAATCAATTTCACACTGAAATATATATCCTCTTATTAGTCTCTTTTCAATATAAAACGGACACGCCTCACACCAGTGATGCGACCCATCACTGTGGTGTCATCTGCGAACTTCAGGATGATGTTGCCTTTGTGGGAGGCGACACAGTCGTGGGTAAACCGGGTGCAGAGGATGGGACTAAGGACACATCCCTGTGGGGTGCCAATGCTTGTAATAATGCTGGCTGACATCCTATTGCCATTCCTGACAGTCTGGGGCCTGCCAGTCAGAAAGCCCAGGAGCCAGTCACAGAGGCTGGGGGGCAGACCCAGTGTGGACAGTTTGGGGGTGAGTTTGTGGGGGACAACTGTGTTGAAGGCAGAGCTGTAGTCAATGAAGAGTATCCTGATGTAGGAATCTCCATTTTCCAGGTGAGAAAGGGAATAGTGGAGGACAGGCGCGATGGCATCTGAGGTGGCCCTATTGGGCCGGTAGGCAGGGCGTCCATGGTGTCCGGTATAGTGCTCTGGATGTGGGCCAGCACCTCTCTCTGGTGCTGCTCTGGCCTGTAGTTGTTCAGACAGGTGACCGGGCTGTTCTTGGGAAGGGGGATGATGCTTGTGGTCTTAAAGCAAATGGGAATGATGCCCTGGCTGAGGGAGAGGTTGAAGATGGTGGTGAGAACATCAGCCAGCTCACTAGCACATACAGTGCCTTGCGAAAGTATTCGGCCCCCTTGAACTTTGCGACCTTTTGCCACATTTCAGGCTTCAAACATAAAGATATAAAACTGTAATTTTTTGTGAAGAATCAACAACAAGTGGGACACAATCATGAAGTGGAACGAAATTTATTGGATATGTCAAACTTTTTTAACAAATAAAAAAACTGAAAAATTGGGCGTGCAAAATTATTCAGCCCCCTTAAGTTAATACTTTGTAGCGCCACCTTTTGCTGCGATTACAGCTGTAAGTCGCTTGGGGTATGTCTCTATCAGTTTTGCACATCGAGAGACTGAAATTTTTGCCCATGCCTCCTTGCAAAACAGCTCGAGCTCAGTGAGGTTGGATGGAGAGCATTTGTGAACAGCAGTTTTCAGTTCTTTCCACAAATTCTCGATTGGATTCAGGTCTGGACTTTGACTTGGCCATTCTAACACCTGGATATGTTACATGTTGGTAATATTTGGAAAGTACAGTCCGTAAATTGCACTGGTTAAAGTCGCCTGCAGCGATAAATACAGCATCGGGTGAGCTGTATCTTGCGCGTTGATGGCATCATAGAGTTTGCTGAGAGCCGCAGAGGGATTAGCTCTTGGGCTAACATCCACATACACAGCAGCCAGAAACGCGGCACAGTGCTCTCTTGCTAGATAATAGGGCTGGCATTTCAGCACTAAAAACTCTACATCTGGCGAACAGTGCTTATAAACAGTCCGTACATCTCCACACCATGAGTTATTGATAAACACACACACACATACACACACACCACCTCCTTTTACCTTCCCCAAAGCAGCAGTGCGATCACTTCGATGTACGGAATGTGTTTGTAGCTGAATCGCGGAGTCTGGAACTCTGTCAGCAAGCCAAGTCTTGGTGAGAATTAGAGCACAGTATTCTCCGATTTCCTGTTGTGCTGTAAACCTAGCCCTTAGCTCGTCCAGTTTGTTTTCCAGAGACTGTACGGGAAGAGGCTAGGTAATGGCGGGCGGGGAGCACGAGCTTTTAGCCTAGCATGGAGTCCTCCTCGCCTGCCCCCTTTGCACCTCCGGGTCGCTCTCCTGATTTCAGCCTGCTCGCTTGTGCCTGGTGCTCCCCGAGGGCGATGGTGGCTGCCCTCGCCAATGTTGTTATTGTCGCCAGAGCGGACGATGGGTTGTAGGTCCGGTGGTATGAAGCCAGTAAATTCCCAGTGGCTTTGTGAGTTGGCGATATCCAGCAATGCCTGTCTGTTGTATGCAAGCAGTGCATGACATTTGTGCACTGCAGAAAAAGCAAAAAAAACGCACGAAAAAGAAAACCAAGAAAAAGCCGGCATTCAAGAGTGGAACACGCAAACACGTTCAACTCGGTGGGCGCCATGTTGTTCTGTTTGAGCTTCGCCCTTCGGATAACCACAGCACATGTTACATTTTGAGATGTGCCAACTTGCAGTACTAAAAAATTTGAGTATACATTTATGATTCCTCCTATTTATGAATCTTCAATGAAATGTTTTCCTAGCATATTTTCTTAGCTTCCTAGTCCAGTTCGGATGGATACATGTCGCAAAAGCATTTGGGAAACGACTATGTGTTACTCTAACAGAGATGGGCAAACAAGCCAGATGCACATATGCAAAACCAGCGACATTGTTGTAACCGGTAAAGTCTTTTCTCATTTAAAAGTAGACCACAATGTTTGAAAACACTCCTAATAAAAGTACAATTCTCACCTTTATGTGGCTTGTTCTAATAGATTTTGTTGTCTTTTTGTCCTCAAGATGGGCAGGGGTTTGCTAAATAGTGTTGCATGAAAATGTAAGGTCTGACATCAGACAGTGTCATCCTCAAAGTGGGTAATATCTCCAATCACACGTTTTTACCTCTTATCCACTGTGCTGTCTATAAACCCCTTCAACTTGTACTGGAACTCTTCCCGTGCCGCATCCTCACTGGCCTCTCCACCTACAAAGACAAAAAGATGTGGTAAATGGATCTCGATATTCTCAGGATACCACTCAGTGAGTTACAGTAGCATGTGCACTCACAAGTTCAAAGAAGGACAGGAGCACAAATAATACAGTAAAATGTACATCCAGGTCCAGAAACCTACCTTCATCTGCTACACTGGTGGCATCACTGAAGCTACTGCAATGACTGAGGGTCTCAATGGAGGCATCCTCATCACTGAAAGGCTGCACATTAGCTTGCTGCCCCCCTGACAAGACATAAACACAATTCAGAATAATTAAACTAAAATCAATAATACAGTGCAATCTGTTTCATGTTTCTCACACACACACACACACACACACACCTTATCCCACTGGTGCTTTCACTATCTATGTAAAATGCAGCATGTTGTGTAATTTTAATGTTCTAAGGATGTGGCTCAACAGATGTAAACTAATATGACAGAAACTCTGACAATCTGCCACAGAAATTACTGTCTCATATGCAAAGCTAGTGTTCAGAACAGACAAGTCCAGTTTTAGTACAGCCCAAAAACATGAGCAAGCAACATGAAGGACAAAGAGGAGGCAAGTTATTACCAAACACAGCCCAAGCCAGGTAATACAGGTATGTGATCGTCAATCCAAGAGTAGAACTTTTCATTGAAAACATCTGGAATAGTGTTAAATGGAATGCAGACAACAGTCACCCCACAACACATAACAGGTGCATGATTGGCAGTTTAAGTGTATTATTCTAAAGGTCTTCCTTAAAGCCAGAAGAGTGTGGGAGAGTTGTGAACATTCACAGCTAAAGGGTGTGAAAATCTTGAATCTGTTCATTTTTCAACAATAAAAAGCTTTGGACTGTAATTACGAGAAACTACTAACAAAAATACACAATATGTATCAATTTCTCAATGACTGTGCACTGTTACCTCACAGACTCAACAGGAGTCTGGACCTGAATTCACCCCTGGAAGACATGTTAGTACGCTGTATGAAGAACAACCTTTAAAAGAAGGAGCAACCAAGAATGATTGTACTTCAATACTGTAGGCCATAATAAATCACTACACAAAGCACTCACAATTAAGCCATTTTATCCACTTAATAGCGGCTATTTGTATGTGCTGACGTGGACTTTTCCTATCAGTCGTTTCTGAGAACCGGGCGCCGCCTGTTTTCAGCTGGGTCCAAAATGTCTGCCGCCAATAAAAAAAATAAAAAAAAAACAGTCCACAAAACAAGTCCCTGTCTAAAAGTTAGTCTAGCAACATTTGCCGAAATGGATACAAGCGGTCACAAATTCAACTTAGTTGAGGACCATCTGCAAACAAAGTGACATCATATTAAAGAGTTTACGTTAACGTTACGCCTTCATTGTGTAGACCCACAAAAACGTAATTTATTCACCTATAGAGGCGTTACCCATAGTTTTTAAATAAGTATACTTATTTAAATCAATATACACAGCAACCGAAGCTGTATCTTGCTAATGGGAAGTTGACATTAAACTAGCTTAGCTGACGGAAGTTAAACCTATGAAGAACGACGAACGTTAAGAGCTCGTGTTAAGAATAAATTTGTTTATGATCATAAAAAGTGTGCCAATAAACACAGCTACAGCAGAAGCATAACACTGTCTTTTCAGAAACAGCGATGTTTGTCTGACCGTGGCTATTAGCTTTGTGTTTTGACGTAGGCCAGCCTCTAACATTGTAGTCCCTACCGTACACACGTTTAACTCCACTCAATGGACTGGCAACATGTTAAGAACTACAACTACCGTCGGTAAAGAGAAGTTAATAAAAAAGGCCAAAGCAATGCAGCCACCGACTCACCCCTGCTGTTCTTTTTCTTGGTCCTTGGCATTTTCGTGCAGATAAACGAATGATTTGATCAAAAATCAGCCGATACACAACCAGCTTTTAATATATTGTCTCGTAAAATGAAAATGTTCCCGTGGCACAAAAGATAAAGAGGATATGAAAGCGATCTTGAAAATAGACTGTTGACCGAGACGATACATTTTTCCCTCAAAAAAACAGGGCTACGCGAAGAGAGCACTCTAGGTTTTTATACCGGCAGCGTGTCACGAGGAGAGTTCCCGGCATCGCTGACCAATCCGGAAAGAGGAACAAGCCTCGTGTGTGTTCGCGCGTGATGAGCAGAAACATCAGTTAAGTTCGGTTCTTTGAATCTGGTTCACCAAAATGAACGAATCCTTTTCTTTAGTCATTTCGTTCACTTCAGCAGAATGTAATTAAAATGCTGCATGTTAATTCCCCATCTACTTACGCACATATTGATCACGTTTCGAATAAGAAAGAACTGTAATGCAGCCAAAGTCATATTATAAGTAATCGTACTATACCTACTGCATCACCTCACCTCCGGATATTTTGGGTCAAATTCGTTTGGTCACATAACATCTTAAGCTAAACTATGCCGTGCCGTGCCCTCTTCTGTATAGTATACAGAAAGATTTTCCCTGATGAAGTTTAAAGCATTAACCAACTCTTTATTAAAACATTCAGTGTTATGGAAAAGAACCATATTGACAGATATGCACAAAATTATAGTCTAGGAAATAAAAAGTTATTTTATAATAAAAGTAAATACATCACGTAAGAGTAAAAAACTGTAAGGATGGTTGAAAATTAACTAATTTCTGTATCCAACAAAGCGATCATGTCACATTACAAAAACAAACAACTCGAAAGGTGTAATAATCTTTAAAAGATTCGTCCAGAAACGAACGACTCAAAAGGTGAACTGATCTTATGCGATGTTGCGCATGCGGGGTCAACACAAAATGAACGAATCACTCCCCGAGATGACCCGATGTTCTCGAGTCATGGGTAGTGATGGGTAAACGAGGCTTTGCTGAAGCGCCGACACAGTGTTCATGGTTCATTACTCGAGGCCTCAATGGCACAGTGCTCAAGTAGGACATCTAGTGGTCAAGAAAATGACGTGCAGTTTGGGATTTGATTCGCCATGCACATTCCTGTTCGACTACACTACATGGTTGTATGGTTTCAAGCGGACGCAATAAAATATAAAATAAACGTGAACTCATGTTGAAGACCATATATGTCATATTTGGCATGTCTGAGTGTAACCCTATATGCTCCTCACTTATATTTTGTGTTACGAAACATTTAAATGGTGCTGCTACATTCATGAGATGTGCTCTACAAATTCAGACAGATGTCATTTTCACATGGGACTGGTGCAAATACAGATTATATTATGTTTTGGGGTTCATTGGTAAAGAGGGTGTGCTTGTGTAACTGCTATCTAGATATGTATATCTAGCTAGATAGTTAATCTATTCTCTCCATATATAGAAAGTCACTTTCGGCTTTTCCTGTTTAGGGGTTGCCACAGCGAATGGTCACACTGACGACTCGCATGCTGACATTTGGCACATCTTTTACGTCGGATGCCCCTCCTGACGCAACCCTGATTCAAACCCGGGGCGCAGCGGCAAGAGCGCCCCGGGTTTGCCTACCAGGGACGGCTATCTTTCTATATATCTATATCTATCTCTATATCTATATATATAAAATTCCCCACTGGGGGCTTGAGGGTCCTGCGCAGTATCATAGCTATTCCTAGGACTGCACTCTTCTGGACAGAGATCTCAGATGTTGTTCCTGGGATCTGTTGGAGCCACTCTCCCAGTTTGGGGGTCACAGCCC